AGGGACATGGAGGGACATGGGGACATGGGGGGACATGGAGGGACATGGAGGGACATGGGGACATGGAGGGACATGGGGACATGGGGGGACATGGAGGGACATGGGGGGACATGGGGACATGGAGGGACATAGGGAGACATGGGGACATGGAGGGACATGGGGACATGGGGGGACATGGGGACATGGAGGGACATGGGGGGACATGGGGACATGGGGACATGGAGGGACATGAGGGGACATGGAGGGACATGGAGGGACATGGGGACATGGAGGGACATGGAGGGACATGGGGACATGGAGGATGACACCAGGACACGGGGACACGGAGGGACATGGGGACACGGAGGGCCATGGAGGGACATGGAGGATGTCACGGGGACACGGAGGGACGGGGGACATGAAGGGACATGCAGGGTGTCCCCAGGACATGGGGACACTCGGGACAGGGGACCCGCGTGTCACGGTCCGACGTCCCCGTGTCCCGCAGGAGGTTCTACAAGGACATGCCCCACAACGCGCTGGACAAGAAATCCAACTTCGAGTTCCTGGAGTGAGTCCAGCCCCGCAGTCCTGAGGGGCCGGGGGGCTGCTGAGCGACCTCCTCATCTTCATCATCCTCATCATCCTCCTCAACTTCATCATGTTCCTCATCTTCATCATCTTCACCATCTTCATCATCCTCTTCATCTTCATCATCCTCTTCATCTTCATCTTAATCTTCACCATCTTCATCATCCTCATCATCCTCCTCAACTTCATCATGTTCCTCATCGTCATCATCTTCACCATCTTCATCATCCTCTTCATCTTCATCTTAATCTTCACCATCTTCATCATCCTCATCATCCTCCTCATCTTCATCATTTTCTTCATCTTCATCATCTTTACCATCTTCATCATCTTCATCCTCTTCATCATCTTCATCATCTTCACCATCTTCATCGTCTTCATCTTCATCATACTCATCATCATCATCCTCCTCATCTTCATCATATTCATCATCCTCATTTTCATCTTCATCATCTTCACCATCTTCATCATCTTCATCATCTTCACCATCCTCCTCATCTTCCTCATCTTCCTCATCTTCATAATGCTCCTCATCCTCCTCATCGTCCTGCTGCTTCTCATCCTCCTCATCTTCCTCATCTTCATCATCTTCATCATCTTCATCATCCTCCTCAACTTCATCATTTTCTTCATCTTCATCATCTTCACCATCTTCATCATCCTCTTCATCTTCATCATCTTCACCATCTTCACCATCTTCATCATCCTCTTCATCTTCGTCTTCATCATCTTCACCATCTTCATCATCTTCATCATCTTCATCATCTTCATCATCCTCTTCATCTTCATCATCTTCACCATCTTCATCATCTTCATCATCTTCATCATCCTCTTCATCTTCATCATCTTCACCATCTTCATCGTCTTCATCATCTTCATCATCCTCTTCATCTTCATCTTCATCATCTTCACCATCTTCATCGTCTCCATCATCTTCATCATACTCATCTTCATCATCATCCTCCTCATCTTCATCATATTCATCATCCTCAGCTTCATCTTCATCATCTTCACCATCTTCATCATCTTCCTCATCTTCACCATCCTCCTCATCTTCCTCATCTTCATCATCTTCATAATGCTCCTCATCCTCCTCATCGTCCTGCTGCTTCTCATCCTCCTCATCTTCCTCATCTTCATCATCTTCATCATCCTCATCATCCTCCTCACCTTCCTCATCCTCCTGTGGCTCCTCATCCTCTTCATCCTCCTCACATTCCCTCATCTTCCTCATCCTCCTCATCTTCCTCAACTCCTCATCCTCCTCATCCTCATCATCCTCCTCACCTTCCTCATCCTCCTGTGGCTCCTCATCCTCCTCATCCTCCCACATCTCCACGTTCTTCCACATCTCTTCATCCTCCTCATCTTCCAGCAGTTCCTCATCTTCCTCATGCTCCTTCATCTTCCTCATCCTCCTGCTGCCTCTCATGGTTCCTCATCATCCTCTTCCTCCTCATCCTCCTGCTGCTTCTCATCTTCCTCATCCTCTGCAGCTCCTCATCCTGCTCATCCTCCTGTGCTTCCTCACCTTCCTTATCCTCTGCAGCTCCTCATCTTCCTCATCCTCCTCATTCTCATCCTTTTCATCATCTTCCTCATCCTCCTCCTCTTCCTCAACTCCTCATCCTCCTCATCCTCCTGTGGCTCCTCATCATCCTCCTCATCCTCCTGCTGCTTCTCATCTTCCTCATCCTCTGCAGCTCCTCATCCTCCTCATCCTCCTCATCCTCCTCATCCTCCTCATCTTCCTCTACTCCTCATCCACCTCATCCTCCTGCTGCTTCTCATCTTCCTCATCCTCCTCATCCTCCTGCTGCTTCTCATCTTCCTCATCCTCTGCAGCTCCTCATCCTCCTCATCCTTCTCATCTTCCTCTACTCCTCATCCTCCTCATCCTCCTGCTGCTTCTCATCTTCCTCATCCTCTGCAGCTCCTCATCCTCATCATCCTCCTCATCCTCCTCATCTTCCTCATCATCATCTTCCTCATCCTCCTCATCCTCTTCAACTCCTCATCCTCCTCATCCTCCCGCTGCTTCTCATCCTCCTGTGGCTCCTCATCATCCTCCTCATCCTCCTGCTGCCTCTCATCTTCCTCATCATCATCATCCTCCTGCTGCTTCTCATCTTCCTCATCCTCTGCAGCTCCTCATCCTCCTCATCCTCCTCTACTCCTCATCCTCCTCATCCTCCTGCTGCCTCTCATCTTCCTCATCTTCATCCTCCTGCTGCCTCTCACCTTCCTCATCCTCTGCAGCTC